CACGCATAAAACAGTTGTTGAAGAGCTTTAAGGTTTTATGGGTTTCTTTAATTTGAAACAAAGTTTTACGTTTTTTATCCCAAAAGTAAGCAGTACCATGTTGTAATTTCTGTACAACATTGTTTTGCTACAATAATTGTACTTAGTTTTGCCACAAAAGTGCTTTCATTGTAATGAAACATGACTCTCATGTAGTGATGAAACAGTGTTACTGTTTTGAATTATTCAAGTGCTTTTTGTCTGACATATTGATAGTGTATTGAATTCAAACACAATTACTACAAATAGTACTTTTTGTTGTAATTTTTTATTTATAAATCCCGTTATCAATGGAAATGTAGACAAAAAATTTCATCAGAATTTTTCTGATCAAAGGCTTGACATAAAAAAGCATTGTTTTCGTCGGTCAGAAGTTTTCTGATCAAAAATATGGCCTAAAATGATAAGCAAATTAATAGATATAATTATATGACGCTATTTATGTGAAAGTGAAGCAACCAGTGGTCAATGACATCCCTTTCCTGTCAAAGCATGTATTCATTTATATTCAAATTGTTTTCAATTGTATTTGAAAAACATCTATAAATCCGATTGAAGAGAGAAATGGGATAAACGAGATATGAATGGACTTTGGGTATCAATAATGGCCATAAAATGACAGAAAATAAACGCAAACCCAAACCATCGAGTTTTAAAGGGGTATGTATTGAGACATTGATTGCAGTTGTTTTGATATTTAATGTGATTTATATAGCAATTAATGAATGCATTATTTTGATTGTCATGTCTTATAGCGGATCACAAAACACAACAAATTTGTGAGAGATATCGTGCGAGAAGTGTGTGGTTTCGCTCTTAACACAATCCGTCAGAAGTTTTCTGATCAAAAGTATGCCCTAAAATGATAAGCAAATTAATAATTTTTGTTAGAGATATTGTGCGAGAAGTATGTGGTTTCGCTCCCTATGAGGACGAGTTGTCCAACGTTTTGGTCCGACAGACCGGCGCCGCCGGCGGCCGCCGCTGCACACAAGTGATAGCGAGATGTGTTACTCTTTGCTTACCATTTATTAATATCTAATGATTTCTCTATTATAATCCGTTTGTTTGTATGTTTTTATAAAATGTAAAATATGGGAAAAAAGTACTATTTTCCCATATTATCTATTATTATAACATTATTTATAATTATATTTTATTTAATATATAAATTTAATTGTTAGCATTTATTTTATTTATCATTTTGTTTGTATGGTTTTATAAAATGTAAAATATGGGAAAATTGTACTTTTTCCCCATATTATTTATTATTTATAATTATGTTTTGTATTAAATAATTAATTTTATAATTAATTTAAATAAAAAACTATTTGATTAAAAAACAATAAAATTGTCATAATTTAAATCAATTATTCATTGTTGATTAAATTCAATAAAAAAATTGTTGTAACAAAACAAGGTGTAGTAAAACTATGTATATTTTTGGTTTTTAGATCACAAAAAAGTTTTGTTCCTCTACAAGGTACTATTTTTGTATAGAATCACCTTGTAGAGGAACAAAGAATTGGGCGGCTTTTTTCTTGTAGTGCTTTTTGAATTTTCTATGCGTG